CTCCGAACCGAAGCCAATGGACTGTCCTTCATCATTGCAAAAATTAACCCGCTACATAATCGTCCTGTTTGGTCACGTGACGAAATTGCTAGCGGCTGTTCTGAACTGTTCATAGTTCCCTCGCGGTATACATTTGCAGTGGAGTCTCCTCTTGACCTTGTTGGCATCACCCAGACGTAGGCAACAGGACATGTGGCGAGAGGTCTGAGAATCTTGTTGAAATTGATCTACCTGTTTTGTATTAATTCAGTGCAGTCGTCAAATTCTCTGCCTTTCGCTAATGCAACGGTCCCATAGCTGACCACATGACCGGTGGTTGTCGAGAAAGCATGTGCGCTTTTACAACTGCATCGATAGAGGCTACCGTTTCTGCTGATTATCACGTTGAATATGCAGCTCTCAGGTGGGTCGAGGTGAACTGCATCCCCTTGAGACGTTCGCATCAGACGGCATGGAGGCTCATGCTCTTGCCCTTTTGGTATAACCATATCAAAACATCATGTTGTCCTCGTTAATTTTTAAGTCAAAAACTTGCTACCCGTTTCTCGGCTGATTGTGCCAAGGCAACTAGATGTGAATTCATTGCCTTAGAGAATTCACGGTTAAGGCAAACTCTCGGCACCTCCGGAGTTTAAAACCGAGCTCTTATGTCATGCTTTCATGACTGTTCTCGAAGGCGTTTTTCTGTTCTTCAGGATGGATAAAATATCGAAAATTATGCTGGGCATTAATTATTTTATCGTTCAATAAATTTTTCTGCAAGGTCATCGTGTAAATGAAATCAGCTGTTGCATGGGAGTATCCCATAAAGTATTTTCCCTTACTGTCTCAATTTTTTCAGATTCTTGGAAAAAAAACTTTAGGAGACACCCTCATATCTATATTATAGTAACGCACGGTGAAATGCATATTCTCTGTTGTTCTGAGTGTTACACTTAGATTATATTGCCAGAAAATTTGCGCCATTTGTTCATAGACGAGAATTGCATTTCACCGTTCTTCTCCCGAAAGAACGAATTCTCCTTTGCTTTACCCCATTGATAAAGACCGAGGCTTGGGTTGCATCAGCTATCATATGTTCATATTTTAGACTGATAGAGTGAAAACAATAGTGCCAATTGTTCAGCCCGACTGTTCAGTAAATGGATCGTAATGGAAGGATAAAAACACCCTGCTTTAATCTTGAAATGGGATGAAAAGAACACCGAAAGGAAGGAAGGAGAAGATACAAAAAATATCACTCCAATAGATGTTTTACGATATGCGGTCGCTGCAGATTTTGCTCGATGCTCCGAATATTACGAATC